TTCTTGTGTGCAGAGTATTCCTGGATCTTCTTTCTTGATTCATTCTACTAGTCTGTTTCTTTAAATTCATGAATTGAGACCATTTATATTGATGGGTATAACTGATATGTATTGACTTATTTTTGTTCTGTTATTCTTCCTGTTGTTGGTTCCCTTTTCCCCCCTCTGTTTGTTTGCCTTGTTTGGTGGATTCATTCTTTTGGGGTTCGTGGAGTTGTAGTCCTTGTTATCTCTTTCTAGAATGTCCTTCAGAACATATTGGAATGCTGGTTTGGTGTCATGAATTTCTTCAGGTGTTCTTTGTCATGGAAGTATCTTATTTCTTCATCAGTTTTGTAAGATAGTTCTGCGTGGTTCATCAATCTGGGTTGGAGGTTGTTTTCTTTTAGGGCTTGAAATACTTCACTCCAAGCTCTCCTTGACTTGAGGGTTTGTGTTGAGAAGTCTGCTATGATTCTAATGGGCTTTCCTTTATACATGATTTGTTTCTTTAACAGCTTTTAGTATAAATAAAATAAAAATTTTATGTCAGTGAATGCTCAAATAACCAGTTAATTGAGTAGTCAGTTTCTTAGACGAGTTCCCAAAATACCATATATACATAATTTCGTGTCTGTACAGAAACAAAATGAATATAAAGCAGAACTGATATGTATATTATTTAGGCCTTCTTTGGTTCAAAAGGAATATTTAGATTTTTATTTCTTTATTTTGGGTGGGGTTTTTTTGAGTCAGGGTCTTTCTATGTAATTCAGGCTGGCCTTAAACTTATGGCAATCCTCCTGCCTCGGCCTTCTGAGTGCTGGAATTATAGGCATGCACCACCATGCCTGGCAAATTTTTGGATTTTTAGAAAATGAACATGTGGTCAGAATTCTATAGATGCACAAATACAGGAGATTAGGATTATTCTATACTGATCATATGGCATAATCTAGGTTTGCCCATAAAGAATTCATTGTCACTTAGATATTTTTAAAACAATAGAAAAATTCTGCTTATATAAGCCTTTTATATTAACACACACAAACCTGTGGCCCCAGAATCAGCCTTTGGGCCTCTTTTCCATCTCTGCCCACTCTTGGTAAATTCCAGATTCATGGCCTGAATGTCCTTTGAACATATGTACTGTAATTGCCTATTTGATATCTAATAGATATCCCAAACAAACTGAACTCCTGATTTTGCCTCATCCCCTCTCCAAATCTGCTGAGTTGCAGCGGTCCCCATTATTATCAGTTCATAGTAATTTCATCCTTTCTGTTGTTTGGGCCCAAAATATTTGAGTCATCTTTTTCTATCCTCTAACGTTGGCTTCTTTCCCAAAACCCAATCGTGCATTTTAAATCACCACCAACAATATCAACTTGTGCTATCACTGAAATTCAGATGTCTAAAATCAAGCTCTCCATCTGCCTACCCAAGATATCTTCTCCCTAAGTTTCCATTTCTATGGGGTCATCACTATATCTCTAGTACTGTGTTTTTCTCTCCTAGCTTCCGTTCACCACTTGCTCACTAGTAGTCCAGGCAGGCTTGCTCAGATTTTCCATTAATGATAATTTATTAACTCAGATCTGAAATATCAGAGGGGCTTTCCATCTGGTTGCCATGCCTAGCACTTCCCTCTGCACTATAGTCTGCATCCTGCTGCTGGATTTCCTTCCTCTGCTTCTGTTGTTACCATTGCCTAGAATCTCTGGTCCCTTTTATTTAGCTAAAACTTTCCCATTCTTCAAAGTCTAATAAATTTTCTGTTTCTTCTGAGTTAAGCTTTCTCTGGTAACTTTAGCCCCCATAGATTCCTTTTTTGAACCACTGTAGTATCTATTATCTGGGTAGTAGTGTGATATGTGGAGAAAACATTGGACTATAAGTCAATAGACTCATAGAGTTTCAGTCCCAGTTCTGGTCCTAACCCCTTTTATGGCCTCGGACAAACCACTATAAATACCCACAGTATGAATGTGTATATGCATATATCTTGAACTTTTTTCACTGAATTATTTGTAGCCATAAAACATAACATGCATCATGATACTTCTACTATATATACTTCAACTACTTCTTTTTAAAAAATCTGATTGTAGTCAAAACCCACTAAGTAGATTTTTAAGAAGTACTAATGAGCCTGGGTGTCATGACATGCACCTGTAATCCCAGCACTTGGGAGGCTGAGGCACGAGGATTGCAAGTTGGAGGGCAGCCTGGACTACATAGCAGGACTCTCTCTTAAACAAAACATTCATTTTCTTGGTCCATCATTTTATGACAGTTTAATGAGTATCTATCTATGTGGTGCCCTCGATGGGACCTAGGAAAACGGCATGAAACAAACCAAAGACTGTATCCTTTTCATCCTGTGTGGGATGTTTGATGAGCTTTGAAGAGGGAAGGAAATTCCAAATAAGTCAGCTAAAGCCAGTGAATGGGTCTACATTTCTTTGTAAAATACATATGGTTAGACTAGCTTTGACATTTTGCATATTTATTAGTCTGTGGCTCAAATACAGGTTATTTCATATATCAGTTATTATGATCATATTCCTATTTTATAAAATGTTATCTTTGTCTTTTGCTTTTTTGTGCTTTTATTGTTATTTTTTCTTTTAAACATTCTAGTGCAGATAGCCATTTCATCTTTTTATGAGTTTCAAGGACTTCATTCCATTATATTTATATTTCTCCTATGTGATAGCCAGTTTTCTTTTGATTTATTTTGAGACAGTCTCACTATTCTTTTGGTTTCTATTTTGTCCTTTACAGTAGACACTATACCCCTTTTAGCAACAACACTCATACATAGAATTATTTCATCTTTCCAATCATCAAGCTATACTTGTGTCTTCATATTTAAGGGTCTTCTTGATTTGTTTCTCTTGTTCTTGTACTGTTTCAGGTATGCTCTTTTGCCAACATAAAATATCACTGCAGTACTTTCTCTCTCTGGAAACAAATATTAAATATATAAAAAGAGTAACAGAAATTTAAAAACTAATCTCAACATAGCTGAGTGTGTGGTATACGCCTATAATTCTCACTACTTGGGCTGAGGCAGGAGGATCACAAGTTTGAGGCCTGCCTGGGCAATTTAGTGAGACCCTATCTCAAAATTTAAAAAATATTTTTTAAAAGGCTGGGGATATAGCTCAGTGATAGAGTACCCCTGGGCTCAATTCCTAGTGTTATCAAAACAAAACAAACCATGATTTCATAATACTGTTTCATATATATAGCTTTTTCTTTTTTTGAAATGGAGTCTTGCTGTGTTGCACAGGATGGCCTTGAATCTGTGATCCTCCCATTTTAGCCTCCCAAGTGGCTAGAATTATAGGCACAAGCCATGGTGCCCATCTGTTTTATATTTTTGAAAATGTGCAATAGATGTTCCATTTTGACTTCATGTTGATGTTTTTGCTTCCCAGAGGACCAAGGGTGTGTTGTGTATAATATGTATGTTTCTGAGGACTGTGAGAGCATTTACACACTCTCCAAATAGTCTGTGATGATTTCAAATAGAATAAGAATGAGTATGTCATTAATATGTATCTACAAGGGACTCCTTTTCTAAAGAATTGGACTTGAGCCTTTATTTTCACACTAAAACCTAAAATCGTGGTCCTATCCAAAACTTGTTTTTTATTATATTCAAAGCTTGCAAGAGACTTTTGACATGGAGGTGAAGCTAGTAGAGTTAAGTCCTTTAAGCTGTCTTACCAAAGAACACAGAGTAAATTGAGTATTGAGAGCAGATGTCAGCAAGCCTTTTCTATAAATGACCAAATAGTAAATATTTTGGGTTTCTTCTGCTTTCTCTGTTACAGTGATGTTAGTCTACCTAGGCTGCTATAACAAAATGCCATGGGCAGGGTGACTTAAGCAGTAGAAGTTTATTTTTCTCACCATTCTGGAGGCTCAAAGTGGAAGTTCAAGGCTATAGCCAATTCTGTTTCTGGTTAGAGCTCTCTTCCTGACTAACAAATAGCTGTCTTCTTTCTGTATCCTCTCATGGCCTTTTCTCAGTGCTTACACTAATTGCTGCCTTTTTTTTTTTTTCTATTTTCTTAAAAATCTACTAGTCTTATTAGATTAGGGCTCCACCTACTTATCCTTACTTACCTCCTAAAGATTGAAGTCACATTGGCCTTAGGACTTTAATACATGAATTTGCAGAGGGAAGAGGGTCATAATTCAGTCCATAGTAGCAGCCCATATTTGTTTATCACTCCTTATAATGGAGGACCAACCATTAATAAATATGTCTTAATTAATTACATAATTTCTTTATTTTCGGGCAATTTGAATTTCCATGTTTTCATATAATTTCCATGTGTTATGAAATACTCTTAAAAATTTTTAACCACTTAAGTGTGAAAAAAAAAAAAATAGCTCACAGGTCATACAAAAAATGAGTGGCAGGGTAGATTTGTCCCATGAACTATAGTTTGTCAACTCTTGATTTAGAGGATAGGATTGATGAGTACTCAGAACTCCCTGTGTGGTTTTCTTTTCAGAGGGGTATTTTATGTTTTTTAGATGATATCTTAGTTACTTTTCTCTCGTTGCTGAGACAAAATACTCAACACCCAAAGTTAAAAGGGGAAAGGTTTATTTAGCTCACAGTTTGCAGAGGTTTCAGTCAATCAGCTGGCTCCAAGGCAAGGTGGCTTGGCAGAGGGGCATTGCAGAGGAGAACCAGTTCATGGCAAGCAGAAGACAGCAAAAGCAAAGCAAGCAAGCTTACCAGCATCTTTCTGCCCCTTTCTGCCCCATCCAGACTACTTAGGACAGATGGCACTCACACCCTTAATCCTAGTGCCCTTGAGCCTAGCATTGCACCACAAATCAGTTCCAGTGTCACACACTCTAGATCCAGCCACCTCTGAAAACACTCCACCTATGACTGCATGAGGCTTTGGGGGGACCTCTAGACACAAACCATAACAAATGACAATGACAAACTAATGCCACATCATTTCTTTTTCCCTTGTGTATTATAGGTGCTGAAATTTGATGCTTATTTCCAAGAAAATGTTCCTATGTCAACTGAGGAACATTATAGAATTCGTCAAGTGAATATTTACTACTATCTAGAAGATGATAGCATGTCTGTCATAGAGCCAGTTGTGGAAAACTCTGGGATCCCTCAAGGCAAGTTAATCAAACGCCACTGCCTACCCAAGAATGATGTAGGAGACCATTATCATTGGAAAGACCTAAATCGAGGAATAGACATTACAATTTATGGCAAAACTTTTCGCATTGTCGACTGTGACCAATTCACACAGGTACAGTATGTGTTTTTGGAAGCTGTGGGGTCTGAGGCATCATTCTAATTTATGCCCAGGTACATTTTCACTTATTAGGGTAAGGGGAAGACGCTGGTATTCTGTCCTGCATAAATTATTATTTTCAGGTTAACTAAATATGTGTGTGTATGTGTATGTGCTGATACATGAAAAGGCTATGTAATAACATCACTCTTCCAGAATGATGTTAATACATATCCAGTCAAAATCAAACTCCACCATAGCTGAATCATTTGCTAAGAAATACTTCCAGTGATAGTTCAAATAGAGTCAGGGAGGTAATAACCCTGATGGAGTGCAAGTAGGGAAAAAGCATTGGCCATTTAAGTTTGAGTTTATAATAATAGTAGTGTCTCTGTTAGCAAATAAAAGCCTCAATTTTTGTACAATTTATATATACATTTAAAAATAGTATGTGCTGGGCCAGGGATTTAGCTCAGTGGTTCCGGCGCCTGCTGCGCAAGTGCACAGTCCCAAATTCGATCATCGGTACCAAAAAAAAAGAGAGAGAGAAAAAAAAATGAAACCATTTTAAATGAAGAAAAAGTTTTTCTATCAAGAAAAGTCCTTCACTTTCTCTATTTCTTAAATTTAGATTTTGTTTTATACAAAGACAACTTTTCTTTAAGTTACATACATGGAGGAAGTAATGGCCTTTTATTTAGTACAAATCTCAAGTTTGTCTTAGTTCAAAAAATTACTTCTAACAGCAAAAATGTTATGCCTTTTATCATCCCAAATGTGGCTAATTTTTACGTTTGCCAAGCTCCTATGAATTCATTCTATTTTATTTAGCAGTTTATTTAACAAATATTTATTGTTTGCCATGTGCAAGGCACTGTGAGCAGAGACTTGAAGGAAGTGAAGAAGTGACCCATTGCATCAGTACATTCCATAGTATCAGAGAAAAACAGTATAGAAGGTAGAGATGCTAGGCCATCTTTGAGATATTGTCCCCTTCAACCATATTTGGATCTCATGCTTTTTAGATTTGTGAGATCCACCTATCATAGGAAGCTTCTGAGTTGTTATACCAGCAGTGAGAAATTATAAAAAGTTATCTAAACTTTAAAGTATTTTTACAGTTATATTTTTGAAAATTTGAGCATGTGCACATTTATTACTGACCAGTTGAGGCAACCCAGTTACAGTTGATTCTTGTTATTCACAGTACCTGTGACCAGTAAAGTCACCAGAAACACTAAGTTAGCAAATACTAAACCATTCTTCCCAGGAGGAGTATAGGTTTAGATTTTTGCCACTCTCTGGTCACAACATTTTTGATAAACAGTGCATAACCTTGTTTAATATATATTGCTAACTCATTAACATTGAGCACGTGGCCAACAGGCATATAACCCATGCCTGAATGAAGCTTATTTAATACACATATTTTTTTCCATAGGGCATGTAACAGCCTTCTTGCACTGGGGACTTTAATACTGTACTATTTTAAACATCAAAATCACCAACAACAGCAAAAAATGCAAAACTTATGGCATTATACAAAAAGGACACTTGTGTACAATCTGAAACTTGGAACAAGAAAGCAGAGCTTCATCTTGCTGTATCTCAGCTGAGAATAAATATATTTGGCAATGCAAATCTTTGGCACTATATACCTGTCTGCAAATGACAATTTACATATTGACAATAACTGACTTTGGGGTTACAAATATATTTTAGCAAGTACAGAAACTCATGAATCTGGAATCCATGAATAATGGAGATCAATGTACAGTATTTTAATAACATGTTTGATTAGAGCTGTATATTTGAGATACTAATGACTAGATTAAATTATATTTTCAACAATCTAAAACTTACACATCTGGGTTAGGGCTGTAGCTCAGTGATAGAGTATGCCTTTCATATGTGAGACTTTGGGTTCCATCCCAAGTACCACCAAAGAAAGTAAATAAATATACTAAATAAAATTCATTAGTTACTTTCTTGTCACTGGGACAAATTACCCAACACCTGTAACTTAAAGGATGAGAGGTTTATTTTTGCTCACCATTTCCTTGGGTTAAGTCAATGGTCTGCTGGCTCCAAGCCAGAAACTGTTTGGCAGAAGAACATGAAAGAGGAATACTGCTCAACCCAGTGGCAGCCAGGAAGCAAAGAGACAAAAGAGAGAAGCAAGGGGACAAGAATACACCCTTCCAAGGCCAGGGATTTGGCTCAGTGGTTCTGGCACCTGCCTCACAAGTGCAAAGTCCCAAGTTCGATCCCCAGTACCAAATAATAAAGAAAGAGAGAAAGAAAAGAAAGAAAGAAAGAAAGAAAGAAAGAAAGAAAGAAAGAAAGAAAGAGAGAGACAGAAAGAAAGAAAGAAGAAAGAAAGAAAGTTAGGTTACTGACATAAATTTAAAAAAATACACCCTTCCAGGTCGCCCCTCACTGACCCATTTCCATCCAGGCCCCACCTCCTAACAGGACTTTCAGCCCACACGATCCATTCATTTTCCACAAGCTCATGAGACTTTTGGAGGACACTTTGGGTCTAAACTGTAGAATAAAACAGCCAATTTCATGTTCTTCATTTGGGCTGGACCTATGAGTGGGTAAGGCAGATAGCTGTCTTTATGGGATGATTTGAATAGGGAAGCACTACTATCCTCATCCCTTGCATGCTTTTCTAAATAAAATATAAAGCCCCAGAAACTGCCGCTTTAGAATTTTTTTTTGTTGAATCCTTAGTGCTAGTGGAGCAGATATGAATACTATTCCACAAATGCTAATGTGTAGGAAATACTGTTTTTTAAAAATAACGTAAAACCAATTGAGCCTAAATACAATTAGGGCCGCTGTAACAAAAATACATAGACTTGGTGGCTTAAACTGCAGAATTTTATTTCTTCACAATTCTGGAAGCTATAACTCCGAGATCAGAGCTGCCACCATGGTTGTTCCAGTGAAGGCCCTCTTCGTGACCTGCAGACAGCCCACTTCCCCCTGTGTGCTCACATAGCTTTTTCTTAGTTCATGTATCTTTCTGGTGTGTCTTATAAGGACACTAATCCTATTGGATCAGAGCCCCACCCTTATGGCCTCATTTAACTTTGTTTTAATGAAGGCTCTATCTCCAAACAAGTTATATTTTAGGTTAGGGCTTCAACATATGAATTTGAGGGGCACGCAAATATTCTGTATAACAGCTCATGTTCCTAGTCATTCCATTCTGCCAGTGATTCCCAGCCCTAAACATAGTAAGAAAACAGCTCCACTCCTGGGCTGAAGACATCATCCAGGCAGGGCCCATATTGTGCAATGGCCAGGGGCTCCTTCCTGATGCTTGGTACTAGGTAAGATCCTGGAACTCAGAAGGCTGAGACTGGATGGTCCTAACTATAGCTGCACATGTGCTCAGAGCACTCTCATGGGGGATGTGTAGGGCCCTGCCATTCTTAAACCCACCAACCTGTGTCCTTTCTAGTCTGGGGAAATTTCCCTTTCCTCTTATTGCCTCAAAAGCATTCCCCTTTTTCTTCCTGCTTTGGGATACTTTCAAATCTCTTCAAAATGTTTAGATTTTTCTAAAACGTAGGAAAAACAGTCAACTTCAGGAAAATGTCATTCCTGCCAGAATCCCTAAAGTAAGATTAAAAAAGGGCCTGATTGTCTATTGGGTGAAAGAGAAAGGAGTAAAGTAAAACATCCATTAGATTCCTCAATCAATTATGCTGTTATTCTAATCCTTTATTTCAGGGGAAAGTTTTGTTAGTCATTAACTCCAACTCAATCATTTAAATACAAGGTAAAATTGTAATATTTTTATAGTGAACAGATACTGGAGACTGCCTAATAAAACTTTAAATAATCTGTCCACAAGCTAAGTAGCAGCAGAGCTATCACTGGAACCCTAATATTTTGACCCCAGGTTCTGTGTATCTTCTGTTGAATTGTCCAAAAGAAAACTGCACACTTCCTAAAAGAAACCCAAAGATTTCTTTAGGTTGATTTCTAGTTACAGAATATAAGGTTATCATAAAATTATTCTTTTCTAATTATCAACAAAGGTATAGGGTGGTGCTTTTAAGAAGATTAAATGTCAAGTTGTATTAAAAGATATAATCCTTCTTAAATTATATATTTATGATTAGCAAAATAAAAGTGAAGATCTTGTCAAATTCAGGTGCTTTCTTTTTATTTTTCTAGTGGGCTTTGAGCACTCGGCTTAAACTTCCTATTTTGCTCAAACATTTTCTGATCTAAAATAACTAGTGGGTGTACTTTGTTTTCTTTTTGGTGAGGGAGAAAAACTTAGTCATATACTTGTTCTAAGGGAGTTAGAAAAGTTGGAATATGATTTCAGTTTAACTTGGGCATTGTGCACCTTGCGTCCATACCAAGTATGAATTACTTATTGTTTGAAAGCATTGTTAGGTTCCAGATATTTACTCAATCTTAGAACTTACTCTGTTCTTGGGAACCCAACTTAATTGCTTGATTGGTCTACATTTACATCCAAATCTAATTTCTTTTTTTTTTTTTTTGGTACCGGGGATCAAACTCGGGTCCTTGCGCTTGCGTAGCAGGCTGCGAAACCACTGAGCTAAATCCCCGGCCCGCAAATCTAATTTCTTTACCAGCCTATTTTCCAATTAGCTTAGCATATTACCAGTGTCACCATATTAGATTTTTTTTCCTTTTTTTTTTTTTTTCCTTTATTTTTAGTTTGAGACAGGGTCTTGCTAAATTACTATGTTGCCCAGGCTGCACTCAAGTTTGTGTTCCTTACGCTGTAGCTGCCCTGAGTGCTAGGATTACAGGTGTGTGCCACCACACCCAGCTAGCAATTTTATGATATAGAATACTATACTTCAGGAAATTATCAATTATAATCTGCATTATATAATTAAGTCAATTGGAGACAGTATTTATTTCTAAGATGAGCTTAAACTGAAACTAATGTTTAATTTGAGCAATAGCATAGAAATTATTATTACACTTATTTTTATACTGTCAACATATCACTTTAAGAAACTCTAAGAAGTATGATCATTATTAATTTGGAAATATTTAGGAATTTTTAGAAAGTCAAGGAATTGAATTAAATCCACCAGAGAAGATGGTCCTTGACCCTTACACTGAGCTCCGGAAACAACCTCTTCGCAAGTATGTCACCCCATCGGACTTTGATCAGCTCAAGAGATTTCTCACTTTTGACAAACAAGTAAGTGACCTTGGCCAGGAGGGTTACTTGTTGGCAAGCCTTCTGTGCTGAAACATTGTACCTATAGTTTAACCATATGTGTACAGAGCTATCTTTCTGGTTTCCTCTAGCATTAGTTAAGAGAAGTTAGTTAAGAAGTTAACAGAAAGAGAAGTTAAGAGAAGGGTTAATTAAGAGATGTCTAAGTTTTGTTTTTTTTTAAGCACTTGTAAGTTATATATACCTTGCTCGCGAGCAGTGTGCTCTAAGTTTTTTATTAGATCTTTAGACATTGTAGAATTAAGTCATATGAGTCATGTCAAATATTTTCATCTTAAAACACTCGAGGTGTGTCTGCTTCTCACTACATTTCTGTTGACCATTTGTTTTCCCCCAAATAAGTTAATCTCATGGAATCCTTTGGGAAACCTTAAGTGAATTAATTGGGAAATATCAAAGCTATTGTGTATTTGTCAGTCTCTGATATCAAAATAGTTAATTTCAGAGAAAGGATTATAAATACTTTCTTTTTAAATGTCATATTATTATTTCTATTAGTACATATTAGTACAAAATTGTTGTGCACTTTCCAACTCTGTCCCAACATTCTTAATCCTCCTCCTTATGAACAGATTTAAATCATAACAGATTTGAATTCTCTTTCTGTACTAAAGAGAAAGAGAAGAAGGATGCTGCTCTTTTTTTTCCCCCTTATAAATTTAACTTTCTTTAGTTGAGAAAATTTTACCTAGTGCTAGCATGGTCTTCTAAGGATTTTGTTAGAAGACCATGTTATTAGTTATGTATATGTTATTACTTTGTATTTAAAGAATGTGTTGATACAGTTACTACAATATGTGTGGGAGCAAAAAAAAGAAGACTGGCTAATAAATGAAAATTCTTTCCATACTAATTATATATAAACCATTCACCTGTATCTTTTTTTTGTTTTTTTTAGACAGGGTCTTGCTATGTTTAATCTGGCCTTGAAGTCACTATGTAGCCCAGGCTGGCCTCGAACTTGTGGTGATCCTCCTGCTTTAGCCTCTCGGAGTATTGGGATTGCAGGGGTGCACCATCATCCCCAGCCACACCTCTGTTTTTTTAAATGCATATAAACCACTGTATAGAGAACCCCATTGCTCTTTTAATTCAGCTTCTCATTCATTGATTAATGTTTCGGGTCAGAGTAAGTTCTTCTTGGCACAAAGTTATAAATCTTTTATTATTCTTTGCAGTTGTTGACATCTGGTACATAATTTCCAGTGTTTTCATATCTTTGATGAATATTTCTTTTTTCACTTTACCATCTGAGATTACTTTGTAGTCTTTCCAGTTAGTCTTTTCATCATTGTCTGATATATAAATGCCAATGTAGCTGAGTTAAACTCTTCACTTTTAGGATTCTTACTTAAGTCACTACTCTGGATTCCTCAAAGGTTCTTCGGTTCTATGCGATCTGGGATGATACTGACAACATGTTTGGTGAATGTCAGAACTACATTATTCATTACTATCTTATGGATGATACGGTGGAAATTCGAGAGGTCCATGAACGAAATGATGGGAGAGATCCTTTTCCACTTCTGATGAACCGCCAGCGCATTCCCAAGGTCTTGGTGGAGAATGCAAGTATGTTTGATTTAATATAAGGCTTATAAATTTATCCTCTGTTACTTGAGGCTGTTTTGGATCTTAAAGGAGTTACTTAATCAGTGTGGTTATTTCTTTACCCTTGAGAGGCTCTCACTGTGTTTTCCTGGGTGCTCAGCAAATGTCTTTCTCACAACTTACTGCCTTTGTCTTGCTCCCCACTTAAGCCATGCCTCCTGGTAGGGATGATTGATATTCAGAACAAGGTAACAAAAACAAAATAGCAGTAGGAGATCCGTTTAAGAAAGGTAGACAGAGGATTAAAAACTGAAGCAATCTAAAATTAGATTTTTAATGTATTTTTCAAACAGCTCTGTTTTCATCTAAGAATATAGCTTAGCATTTCCTTACATGCTTTCCTGACTTTGGTTCTTATCTTAACTACTTTCTAAATGGGAAGTTTCTGTATGAGTTAACTTGAGATCAGGAAAGGCATACCAATGTCTTGCAAAGGTAGAGTCTCATGGTGTAGACTCTGGCTCTTTCTTTGCTTGTTTAAAATAACTTGGTATGTTGGAGAGTGGGAAGGCAACAAAATGTAAGTGGATACCTGCTGTTACTGTTAGGATAAGTAGTCTTGAATTAGTTATCCACTTAGCAGTTAAAGAATTTTTCTCCCACAAAAATGTCTTCTTGGTCACATGTAATAACATCTCTCATGTTTGGTTGGGAGACAGAATTCTGTAAATATTTTCTTGATTTTTTTTTTCTTTTTACTGTATTTTTGGGAAATAGAAGATAAAAATTCTACATATAGGGCCAGGGATTTAGCTCAGTGGTTCTGCCACCTGCCGCCTCAATCCCCGGTACCAAAAAAAAAAAAAAAATCTACATATAGAATAAGAGATTTGTGTAGGTTAAAGGCTATAAACAAATTTGACAGTCTAAAGGCTAAATTCAACCAAGCCACATGTGTTGCTTGGCCTCCTGCAAGTATTTTATTTTAAAAGGGTGTTATTTGTGGACGGGAAGTTAGGAGGGTTTTATCATTGAGAGATAAGATAATCAAAATGTAGTGAAAGTACATCTTGATGAATATGCAGTAGTTAGAAGCAACAAACAAGATGTATACAGAAAACAAATAGATGAGTGTTAAAAGCATAGTGCTGTGTAAAAAAAAGTAAAATGAAATAATACAATAACATTTACATAATGTGAAATCTATGTACAACATAGTACACATGGTACATATTCAGTCAAAAAGCTGCACATTATTGGCACAGGGGACTGTGGCTACCATGGTGATTCTGCCCAGATCTAGTGAGAATCCCACAGTGCTTGACCACAGAATTACTATGAATGAGGCACCTGGACCCACCCTAATCCCAGACAGAGGCTTGATGAGGATGGATTACCGTTTTTTAGGTACTCTCTACTTCATGCTGATCTGAAATGAACTATGCTATATCTCAATGAACTAGGAAAATAAGAACAAACTAAACCAAAATTAGTAGAAGGAAAGACTAAAGATCAGAGTAGAAATAAATGAAATGGAGACTTAAAAACTAAAAAAGATCAATGAAAGACTGAAGATCAGAGCAGAAATAAATGAGATGGCGACTTAAAAACTACAAAGGATCAATGAAAAAAAATCTGGTTCTTTAAAAAGATGAACAAAATTAGCAAACCCTAAACTAGATTAACTGAGAAGACTCAAATAAAATCAGAGATGAAAACGGACACATTAAAATTATTATGCACAACTATATGATCACAAATTAGATAACCTAGAAGAACTGGACAAATTTGTGAACATATTCATCCTACCAAGATTGACATGAGAAATACAAAACTAGAATAGACCAATAATAAGTAACAAGTCTGAAGCATTAATAAAAAGTCTCCTACTAATGAAAAGCCCAGGAGAGGAGGGCTTCACTGCTGAGTTATACCAAACATTTAAAGAAGAACTATACCAGTTATTCTTAAATTATCCTCCCAAAAATTACAGAGGAAAGAATTCTTCCGAACATAATCTTTGATGTCAGCATTACACTAATAGAATAACCATTCAAAGATACACACAAAAAGAAAACTGCAGGTTATTATCCTTATTGAACATAGATACAGAAATCCTCAACAAAATACTATCAAACTAAATCTAGCGGTCATTAATAAGATGACTATGATTAAGTTGGATTTTTCCCACCAATGCAAGCATGGTTCAACATATACAAAGGAATAGATATGATGCACCACATCACAGAATGAAGCCAAAAGCCATGTGATCATCTCAATAGATGCAGAAAAAGTACTTGATCAAAGTTAACATCACTTTATAATAAAAACACTGAATAAAATTGATATGGAATGAGTGTACTTCAGCTTAATAATGGCCACTTATTATAAGCCAATAGCTAACATTATCCTGAATGGAGGAGAAGCAGAACACTCTCTAAGTTCTGGAACAAAATAGGGATCTCCACTTTTACCACTTTTAGTCAATATAGAGTTGAAAATCCTAGTCAGAGTAGATCAGTCAAGACAAAAAAAAAGCATCCAAATTGGAAAATAGTAAGTCAGTTTGTCATTTGCAGATGTCATGATCTTAAACATATAGAAAACCCCAGACACTGCCAAAAATTACTGTAACCAATGAATGAATTCAGCAAATTTACAAGATAGAAGATAAACTTATAAAGTCAGCAGTGTTGCAATGTACCAATGACAAATTATTTGAAATAGAAATCATGAAATCAATCATAATTACAATAGGTACAAAAAAATCCTAGGAATAAATTTAACCATCCCATGTCCATGGATTGGAAGACTCAATATTGTTAGAATGTCCATAGTGCCAGGCATGGTGGCACACGTCTGTAATCCCAGCATTCAGGAAGCTGAGGCAGGAAGATCACTGTGACTTCAAGGCCAGCCTGGTCTCTGTGGTGAGTTCAAGGCCAACCTGAATTACACAGAGAGACCCTGTCTTCAAAGAAAAAGTCCATGGTACTCAAAACAATTTACAGATTCAATGAAATCTATCAAAATACCAATGGCATTTTCCCCAGAACTAGAAAAAAATCCTAAAATTTGTATGGAACTACAAAACAAACAAAAGCAAATATCCAAAGCTGTCTTGAGAAGGAATGGAACAGGAAGCAGTACACTACCTGATGTCAAAATATACTGTAAAGCTGTAGTACTCAAAATAACATAGTATTGGCATAAAAACAGATGTATAGACCAATGGAATAGAATAGTGAGCCTAACAACCCCCCCCCCCACACGCATGCATACCTCTAGCTATTTTTGACAAAAGTGCTAAGAATACTTGGAGACAGGACAGATCTTAATAAATAGTTCTGGGGAAATTGAGTGTCCATGTGTTGAAGAATGAAATTAGACCTCTGTCTCTTACTAGTTAACAAAAATCAACTCAAAATAGATTGAAGACCTAAATGTGTAAGACATGCAACTATGAAACTTTTAAAAGAAAATATAGGGGAAATACTTTAAGATATTGGAATGGCCAAGGATTTGGGAAGGACAAGACCCCCAAAGCACGGGGTTGCGGGGGGGACTAGACAAATGAGATTATGTCAAACAAATTTTCTGCACAAAGGAAAAAATCAACAATGTGAAGAGACAACCTATAGAGTGGGAGAAAATATTTGCAAAATAAACTTTGACAAAGGGTTAATATTCAGAATATATAAGGAACTCAAATTCTCAATAGCTAAACAAACAAATCCATTAAAAAATGGACAGTAGAGTCTCACTGAAACTGAATCCTTTGAAATCTCAGGTTCCAGATTTGTCTCTGCCTCATCAGTAAGTATTATTCATCAGAGTTGTATGGAGAGGCAGCATGGTGACATATGTAGGGTTCAACCACTGTGGAAATCAGTGTGGAGATACCTCAAAGAAGTAGGACTAGAGGCCCTATTTGACCCAGCTATTCCCCTGCTGGGTATCTTCCCAAAAGAATTAAAATAATCATACCAGAGCGATATATGTGCACCCATGTTTATAGCGGCACAGTTTGTAATTGCTAAAGTTTGAAACAGCCCAAGTGCCCATCAACTGGAAACTGGATAAAGAAAATGTGGTTTTTTTATAAAATGGAGTACTACTCAGCCATGAAGAATGAGAAACTAGAGACATTGATAGCTAAATGGATGCATATTGAGGCCATCCTCGTAAGTGAAATAAATAGGACACACATGTGTAAATACCAAATAGTTTCTCTGATGTGAGAAACTGTAAGTATAAATAAGGATTAAAATTATTAAAATGAATAATTGATAATTTGAAATACGAAGAAAAGGTCCAAATGGATAGGGGAAGTGGGAGGGGAAGGGGTAAGGAAAGAAGAGAAAGGAAAAATTATAAGAAAAGGAAAAAATGGAAACAAAGTCTTTGTAAATAGGGAAGGGTGGAGGATAGGGAATAGGGAAAAAATAAGAACCAAGATACATCATATACAGGTACAAGTACCCAATGATAAATGTAAATGTATTGTATACCTAAAATGTACCAATAAAGAATTTAAGGAGCCAGGGATTTAGCTCAGTGGTTCTACTGCTTGCCTCGCAAGCACAAGGTCCAGAGTTCAATATCCGATACCAAAAAAAAAAAGAATTTAGGGAAAAAAAAAAAAAAGAGGTAGGAAACATCTCTTTTTGCAAGTCATTGTTAGTCATAAGGCAGCAGTATAGAAAATGCGTACGCTCCTCTCAGTTAAATAACTCCTTTAACTAGAATGGTGGTGTAAAGAAATGGCATCTAAGTGAGTCTGAAAGGCATTTATCCAATGGTTGATTTTTATTAAATTCAGTTAAACATAAGTAAAATACCTGCTATAGCAACCATTTCACATGCTAAGAGCTATAGAGGATAAAATGAAAATTTAACTCCTACACCTACAACTCCAGTCCTTCAGATACTTTTGTTGTTACTGGAGAGATAAATCATATAAATACATAAAGGTATCAAGTAATAACACAAGTTTACCAGATTATCTAATTATGTAATTAATTATCTAATTATGTATCTAATTATCTAATTATGTATCTAGTTATGTCATGAAGAGAGATATGGGCCAGAAAGACTAAAGAAGACTTTGTGGAAGAGCTGATATTGGACCCAGATTGAGAGTGGCAGAGAACAAAGGGAAAGAGCACTCTAGAGAAAGCAACAAGAGCAAGGGTTGGGAATTAGGAATAGTATGGCATATTTGGGAGTGTCCAGGAGATAGCCTGGCAGGAAATTTTTGTTTGGCAGTACACTCATCCCTCAGTATCCAAAAGGGATTCGTTTCAGGATCTCACTGAGGAAACCCAAATCTGCAAGATGCTCAGGTACCTTATAATAAAATAGTTAAAATAACCTACTACTTGCATATGACCTATACACATCCTCTCATATATTTAATAGCTCTGAATCATTTAAACTACCTCATACAGTATAAATGCTATGTAAATAGTTGTTATTTTGCATTGTTTAGGGAATAATGATAAGAAATAAAGGTCTGTCATGTTCAATACACATGCTATATTTTTGAAAACATATTTCCAGTCTGCACTGTAATTGAATCCTCAGATATGGAATCTGTAGATACCAAGGCTCAACATTAATAGAAAATTATGCAAATATCTTTCAAAATTTCTCTGTTCCAGGACCTTCTTTTACATAGTTAAGATGAATCAAAGTTATACATTTATTGTGGATGGAGTTATAGTATCAAGGTTTCTAGTTCTCTGTTGAGGGTAACTACAGGTTACCATTATGTTGTAGGTAAGGTAAAGTGGGTATTTATTTGGCTTACATGAAATGCCTTCTATATATTGCTGAATACAGGGCATGAGGTTCTGAAAGTCTCAGTATGTTGTTAGACTGGCTCAATCTGAAAGAAGATGAACAATATAAAAGGTTTAAGATATACGGAGAACAGAAACATAATAGGTCTAGTTGGAATTCTAGTTGGAGAAACTAATGAAAAATAAAGGAGAAGCAGTATATGCTCAATAATGTTGCATAATTTATACACACTAAAAGAAAAGTAATGACAGTAAGTCTAAAGGAATTTAAGTGAAAAAAATGAAAGAAATAATAAACCTGAAAAAAAATGAAATTGAAAACAAATATAACAGTGATTTGTTAAACCAAAGGTGGTTTCTTTGAAAGGACTAATAAAATGACAAACTATTGATAAGATTTTCCAGAGGGTGAGGGAAAGAAGGCACATACATAAAAAATATTAAAAATAAAAAAGGAGTTATATTTTGAAAACGCAGCAGGGATTAAACATAAGAAAATACAAAGTTTCTGCCAATAAATTTGAAAATGAAAATTTTCAAAAATTTCTGAAAAATTTTCAGAAAACTATACTGTAACTTGCTCAAGAAGAAATAGAAAACCAATGTCTGTAACCATTAAAGAAACAGTTTCAGTTTTTAAATTCCCCACAGAGAAAACACCAGATGTAGATAAATTTTATAGATAGTTTTTACCAAACACTCAAAGAAAATTTCAAGCTTTTAAGCTTAACACGAGCCCTTTCAGAGAAAAACAAAAAGAACTCCTTAGTTCATTTAAAACAGGTGAGTGAAACCAAAGGCATCATAGGAATGAAAAACTATAGTTAATATCACTCATAAACATAGATGCAAAAATCCTAAAGTAACTTGTAAACCAAACCTGGTAATACATGAAAAAAATAATTTGTTGAGCAAAAAAGGCAAATGGCTGGATAGGATACACACAAATACCAGATCTCCTAGAACACTGTATACTGAGAAACTCAAGCAGTTATGAACTATGTCTGCTGTTGCCCATTGCTTGCTGGGGCTACTCAAAAGGATCTGGTAGGGTTAGGTATTAGACACCAAAGAAAGATCCTTGGATTCAAGAGCTTTTACAATGCATGTTTGGGAAAATAATAGCACCTCCTTACTATGAAAACAGACTGGGGATCAAGTCTTATATTTCTGATATAGCAGAAACAGTCTTTCTCTTGTTTTTCTGTCTTAGCAATTACCACTTAGGAAAATACAAGTCTACTTTTCATTCTCATTGTGATCAAGGTTCTGCATTCAAACTTGCTGGTTATAACTTTAAGATGTAGCACTCTACCAGAATTTATTGACTCATGGTTTCTGTGAAGGCCAAGCTGTAGGGAATCAATCTTAAACACGTTAACCTTTAGTTCTCATAAGACACTCTGACAAAACTAGATTTATTCCAAATATGCAAGACTGACTCTACATTTAAAAATCTGTTGATTCTCACAGGAATGGATTACTGTAATCATCTCATTAACTGTCTCTGCCCTCTGCCTCCAGGACTAGGTCACACTGTCCTAACAGCAGTGATTACAACTGAAATGAAACCGTTCTTTATGTAATTGTTTAGTGTCTGTTTCCCAAACAGAATATTTTCTCCACAAAGGCAGGAATTGTGTCCATATTATTACTTGTTCTAATTCTAGTATTTAGCAATATATTTGGCATATGAGTAGTTACTAAGAATTGTTGCATGCACACGTGAATGAGTGAGAAGTCAAACCAAGTAACTTGCATCCTTCCTAGATCTGAGACTCTTATGTGTCCTATAAAAGTTCATTTGTTCTTTCCTCCTTTAATGATTTCTTCTAAGAATTAATTCTGCTAAGCTTAGTGATTTGTAGTAGTAGATCTAGCTGAATATGGGAAAAAGACTTTACAAAAACCATCTGGGATATTATTTATGTGTCCTGTCAACAGATGCAAATATATAGCCTTACATTCTTGTGAGAATGTAGGAGAGTCCGTGCCTCTTGACCCGAGTGTACTTCCCTAGTCTCAAGAATATTGGTGCTTGTGTGTCAGTCCTTCTTCTTATACTCATTCCTTCTTCTTTTCTCTCCAACCCCACTTTATGTTAGAGAACTTCCCTCAGTGTGTGCTAGAGATCTCTGATCAGGAAGTGTTAGAATGGTACACTGCCAAAGACTTCATTGTGGGGAAACCGCTCACTATCCTCGGGAGAACTTTCTTCATTTATGATTGCGATCAGTTTACTCGACAGTACTACAGAGAAAAGTTTGGAATCCCTGATTTACCACGCATAGATGTAAGCAAGCCGGAACCACCTCCTGTAAAACAGGTAATGGAGTAGTAGTTCTGAGTGTGATGAGAAGATAATTTCCTTTATGTAGAAATTAAAGAAAATGAACCCCTATGTGAATACAGTATTTAATAAAAATGGACAAAGTATAGTAGCAGAGTAGTTCAGAAAAGAAGAAAAACAAATGAAAAGCACCTCAGTCTAATTTGTGATCTAAGAAATAAAATCAAAATAATGAGGTTTATTAAAATCTATTCAATTTAAAAAGATATACCGTATCTAGTGTTTTCCCAGTGAAGAAATGGTAATTTTCATATACTATTAGTAGGAAAGCCAGTCAGAATAACCTTTCTTTTTTTATTTTTAATTTTTGTTAGTACATGTTTGTAGTACATTATGATTACATTCATTCATCATCATGGAGAATTGACATATGTACATAACACATCATAATTCTTTTTACATCCCTTCCTCTCCCCACCTTTCTAAAGGGTAACTTGTCATCATTTTAATTTTTTGAATAAAATGTTGCATATCTTTGGCCTAGAAAATATGCTCTGAGGACTATAAAGTGATACATTTTATAGTGAAATGAAGTATAAGAACATTGACAAAATAAATTATATTTATCCATAAAATTAGAGTATAAGGCCTATAAAAGAAGAAGTAAATCTATGCATATTAACACGGGGAAAGTCCATAATATATATTTTTTAGTATATGCGCTGCCGAAGTGAGCACGACCATAATATATTTTTAAATGAATATGTATCTATAATGTGGTCCTATTTTTATGAATTTCAGCATATTGTATCTGCTTATGTATGGTTAGGAAAAGACCCAGAACAGTATTTACCATATTATTAATGGTAGTTGGTTCAACATGCAGAAATGGGAAGGAGAAGAGGGAAATGACCAGAAAACTTCCTTTTTATGCTTTCTGTGGATTTTTTTCATAGCAAAGATTATATTACTTTTTTTTTTTTTTGGTATCAGGGATCGAACTCGGGTCCTTGCGCTTGCGCAGCAGGCGGCGAAACCGCTGAGCTAAATCCCCAGCCCCTTATATTACTTTTTTTTAAAGTTTTTTTTCCTCAAAGAATTGGGGATTGAACCCAGGGCCTCTCCCATGTTAGGAAAGAGCTGTACCACTGAGCAGTCTCCCTTTCTGTTTTAATTTTAATTTTGAGACAGGATCTCACTAAGTTGCCTATGCTAGCCTGGAACTTGTGATCCTCTTGCCTCAGTTTCCCAAGAAGTTCGGTTTACAAGTATGTGCCACCATGCCCAGCTGAAAGTTTTATTTTATTTTAAAATTTTCCAATTTTTTTTGTGATCAAATATACACAATATTCCTTCCTTCTTAACTATTTTAAAGTGTATAGTTCAGTGGTATTAAACAGTCCATGCACATTCATTTTCTAATTCTCCTCATATATGCAGTTATTTTTGAATATCCTACTCTTTAATATCTAGCTTCCAAAAGAGGAAAATAATACAACGAAATAGTGGAAAATAGTATGCCAGCCCTTTAGTTCCCCCTGAAAGTCATTTCAGCTGTAGAGGAAGAGGCTTGCAGCCACAGGTGAGGTGTAAAACAGTGGCCAACTGCCTCTCATCTTCACCTCTCTGATCAGAAGTAGCAATTACTGATCAGAGCACAGATCACCAGTGTTTGGAGGACAGAGCGCTTTTTTGCCCAATCTGGCTCCCGCTGGCTGTGCGCAGGTTTCATGGGCTGCCTACCATAGTCTAGGGGTATAGGATGGGTAGAGCTGTGTGAAAATTAACTGCAGTTGATTGTCCATGCCTTGCCCTGAAAGTTAGAAGCCCCCAGTAGAGTACAGAGTTTTGAAATGGTTACTTTGGGTAGATTCTGCCAATCCGATTGCTGTTTAGATAGGGAGATGGTGCTTCCTACTCCATCATCTTCTTAGCGTTTTCCTTTGTATTACTTTTATAACATTCTAATTCATTTTGATTTTTAACAAAGACATCTTTTGAAATTACAGACTCCATGGCATTTCTTTGTCCTTTGCCCATTTATCAAATCTTTTCACTTAAAAAATGGGAGCAAAAGAAAGACTGATTAATGTTGGAAGATGTGTTTCTTTCATTGCAACGTAGCTGTCCTTAGAACCATACAGAGCCACACAATTCAGTTCTGTGCACCACAAAATTGCCCTCTGACCTGAGTTTTCATGCCAGTTTTAATGCTCCAAAGTAGTAATCTGATAAACTTGATCCTTAATAATTTTAGCCAAGACACATATTGTAAAGAATTTCAAATAAAAATTATATGTAGGATGGTACAGTATCATGGACTAAAAGCTATAACAGGGCAGGAGCAACTCGTACAAACCTATGTCTCTTGCCTATGTATAAAATAGGATATGAATACCTGTGTTCCATATTTTTACTGCTGCTATCTACATAAAACTATGTCATTGGATTTTTCTCATGAAAAGAAAAGATGAAAAAAGGTGGAATCATTGAATTCCTCCAGCCCAAGACCTTGTCTTCTACCACATTTGCTTCCTGCCTTGCTTGTGCTTAGCCACCAATCATTCTGAATTACATGTGATTCTGTTCTGTTTCTCTGGATTTTTTTTCTGGTTCTCTTCCATCTGCTTGAACTGCCTTTCCATCATTCCTTCACATGGCTCTTTTTTATACTTCAGTACTTAGTACTTGGGCCTCTTCTCCTCCAAAAAGGATTCCCTAAAGCTCCAGGCAAGGCTAAAAGCTTTCTGTCTCTGTTCTTGGGAATATTGTCTACCTCCCTCCAGTAGCACTCATCTATTGTATTTAAGTATCTGCTTAAGAATCTTTTCTACCAGACTATAAGTTCCTTGAGGCCAGGTCCTATGTCCTAGTTTTCTTTCTGCTCCTAGCACCTAATATAGTATCTCACAAACAGAAGGCAGGTGATGTGTTTCTTCAACTGGACCAAGGAAAATTGTCTGTGCAACATGTACAGTGTTTCCCAGAAAGGTAGTGATGTCCTAGGCAAGAATTTTATAAACAAAGCTTCAGAAAAACAATTACAAAACCAAATTATTGTGTTTTGGTATGCTGGTAGTTCCCAGGGGCAATAAAATTTCTGGAAGGAAGTGTGGTACCCCTGTGCTGTCAGGCTTTTTTCTCTGATAGAACTCTTTATCAAAAAATGTGCTCATTATTTAAGAATTATAATAAGCCCTTTGCCCCTAAATTTGTTTTGCAGCACATGATGTACTCTCCAGGGGAAAATAGCTTAGGAATAGATCTAGATTTTGATCAAGCAGCCTATTCTACCAATTTAGTTTATAGATAAGGCTAGGGTGAGATAACAGTTTAAGTTCTCTCTTAACTTCCCTAGGGTCACAATGTAAGGTACAAGGACATTTCTATTATATGTCAAAAATTAATACAAGAAGGAAGTAAGTTGGGGAGGGACTGCCACATAGCAACACTCTTTTATCCAATGAAAGCTTTTGCATCTAAGAACATTTTGTCCCTCATCCTCATTACTTATATCTTCTAAGGAATGAAAAGGGAGAGAAAGCTTATTTTAGAGATAACTAAAGAATCTCTGTAGATTTTGCCTGGTTTGTTTTTCCCCATCCAAGCCCCTCTGTTTTAATAAATCTAAGTCTATATAATGAAACATTCAGGCTTTATTTCTAGTGACTTCTCCACAATATGTAATTCTAATATAAATAAGCTATCTCAGGTCATCCTTGAAAATCTTTGTCAAAAAGGAGTAGGAGAGCACTGCTTACCAAGAAGCCAATACTTTTTAAGCACTATGTTAATGTCCCTAGTCATTACACTTCAGTCATTTTAATCCTAACCAATATAAACAGAAACCAAGGATGGGAATGGACTGGGGATGTAGCTTAGCAGTACAGTGCCTGCCTGGCAAGTGTGAGGCCCAGAGTTCAATTCCTGGTACCAAGAAAAAAGAAACCAAGGATGGGAATCTGTAGCCAGGTCAAGAGAGAAAGCTAGAGCCAAGCCAATGATCAGGAACAGAAGTGAAGATAAAATGGGTATATTTAATTTGAGAATTATGACAATTTTGTAAGTCAAACTGATTTGCTGGGTCCGCAGTAAGTAAATGTGAATGTGGACAAATATGTTTTATCTTAGGCTTGCTCCATCTGGAGGAGGAGGAAGCTAGAGCCAAAAGAGCTTATCTGTGATAGGGGTAGCCCCTAAAAGAGTATCTGAGGGATTATAAAACTCAGGCTGTAAGTGTACTAGACTAAGAAAGCTCAGGGAGAAACACTGGTAGGTGGATCATATGAGCAGATGTGTGATGATGTCCACAGTCAGAGTGGCTTATCTAATTTGGAACAGAACCCAGGCAGTTGCTGAAAGTATAAAAAAAACAAAGGAACCAGAACCTCAGGCATGTGGACTTATGTTTAGGGATAGTCTTTACCACAGGCTAGGGAAGTGAGTTGTGATTCAGGAAAAACAAAGTAGCAATTTGAGGAGAAAACTCAGAAGCTTAAAATCCTTCAACTCTCAGGCCACCTCCAACCATGATATGCTCATTGTATGTTGGTACAAATGCAAAACAAGTTCAGGTTACACTACCTTGCAGTTTCTGCCTAACCTACTAAGAAACGCAAATGTTTAGCATGTTGTATCTCAACCCTGGGTCCCTTTCTTCATAATAACCTGTATCCTCATTGGGTAGGTTTTACAACTGATGCAAATCAGGTCAGTGTCCATCTGCTGAGTCCACTAGTCATATTCTGGTCATAGTTAACTATAGTCCTTGCAAGTGGATGAGGGAGGTCAGTATTCCAACTAGTATACTTTGAACGAATGTGGTTAGATCATTTGTTCTCGAGAGGGAATATCCTATAATGAATGGCACTACAAACTGTATGGACTAATTTGATGAAGTACCTGAAAGCAATATAAAACTAGATTTTGAGAAAGTTATCTACAAGTAAAAGGGTATACAAGCTGAGGCTGCTGAGAAAGGACAGCCAAAAAGAATCAGGGAAAAAGAACCCTGCTGCTCTTTGCTGAACGCTGGTAAGGAAGAAAACAGCCTTTCACCTAAAGATTTTAGGTAAATGAATCTTAGTTTCCTACAGGGATGCTTTAAGCACTTCATGGAACCTGAATGAAACATATAAGCTCAATGTATACCTTCACAGCAGCTTGTCAAATAACTTTTGTGTCTGAAATTTGGATTCCTTAGGAGAGTCCTATGTGGACAAAGGGTTCAAGATCCCAAAAAAGTTTATCTGTCATCTTCTTCTATGAGGCAAAAACCAAGAAATAAAAGTAATAGAAATATGGAGGCAGAAAAAAAAAGTATGAATCAGGTTATCAACCCTTCTCCAAATCCAACACACACACTTGAGTGATCTGAGAGAACACTTTCCAAATCTGCCAGGCTAAAACCCCACACCTCAGAACAAAGTGATCACAGACAAACCCACAGACCTCATTGTCCTAGGATGACTCAGGGTCATCTGCATTTGGGGGAGAAGTTGGGATCAGGCCTGCTTTGATAGGAAAGGGTCAGTGGACAGCATCAATAGCTTCCACCTAGCCCTAGCAATTGCTTTGTGGCATCATTAGTCAGCCACTTCAGTCATCAGTGAACATGATGAAAATCATAAAGAAGAAAAGAATAAGTGAGGTCATGTTTCCTGACTACATTTGTAATATATAGGAATTGTTTTTGAATGTGTTTCCTATAATTTTTAAAAGACACTTATAGTTATCTTTAATATATTTGAACACAAATGACTTCTGTTTTACTTCTTGCTCCCTATATTTCTCTAGGAATTACCTCCGTATAATGGTTATGGACTAGTTGAAGATTCTGCTCAGAATTGCTTTGCTCTCATTCCAAAACCTCCAAAAAAAGATATTAAAATGCTGCTGAGTGACAACAAGGTGCTTCGTTATTTGGCTGCACTGGTAAGGCTAATTTTAAAATTTTATTTTTCTAATTAGCGCATATTGGTTATACAAAATAGTGTGTTTCATTTTGGTACATGTGTACACGTATATAACATACTTACAGCTCCAGAATCCCCTTGCCCTTTCCTCTCCCTCCCCAGTCCCCTTCCTCCTCTACTTGCCTGTCATTTTTTTTTTTAATTTCCCCCTGATTCTTCTTATGAGAAAACATACGCTATATTTGACTTTCTCAACATGGCTTATTTCACTTAACATGATAGTCTACAGTACCATTCATTTTTCTATAAATGACATGATTTTATTCTTTATGGCTGAACTATTCTATTCTGTATATGTACCACATTTTCTTTATACATTTATCTGCAGAAGGGCACTTATGCTATTTCCACAGATTAGCTATTGTGAATTGTCCTGCAATAGACATAGGTATACAGATAACTGGATAGTATGCAGACTTTAATTCTTTCAGGACTATAACAAAAAGTGATAGAGCTAGATCAAATGGTAGCTTTGTTTTTTAGCTCTATTTGTTGAGGAACCTCCATGATGATTTTTATAATGGTTGTACTAATTTACATTTCTACCAACAGTATAGAAGAGTAGTTCCTCCACCCACCCCATCCTTGCACTTTGCTCTTGCTATTGCTAGGATTGCTTTTCCTATTCTGGGTCTCTTCTGATTCCTTATGAATTTTAGGACTGTTTTCTCCAGTTCTGTAAAGAATGCTGTTGGACATGGGCACTGGGGAGCCTTCTAGCAGTGAAAGGATGCCCAGGAGAGGGCTGAGGGGCTGTCCTGGAGAGTGGCTTCTAGGCTATTGGCTCTGATTCTGTAATTCCAGTGGTCTCCAGTGTGGGGCATTAGAAATAAAGGGTCAAAATGCCAGGCCCTGGGCAGAGGTCTGGGAAAGCAGGCAGTTTGACAGCCACTTTGTGTCTGTGGAGAATACAACCCTGCAAGCCCCACTTCACCACTAGCAGACTAAAGTCCTCCAGAGCAGACTGACTCTGACCAGGCCTCTGTTCCCCCTGGATCATCCCTGAAAATCTCCACCCAGAAATCTGTATCTCCTACTATACATTCCACCTACTGGATCATCATCCTTGTCCCCCTTGGGAAGGGCTGAAGGCTCTGACTTCCCTGTCCCCACTGGAAGGAGCCCAGGGACTCTGGAGGGGATAGGTACTGATACTGGGGCTCCCTCTGCCCACCTGCAGGAGGATAGGTCTGGGCTGTGAGAGCAGTGCAGGAGAAGCTGAGGGCTCCAAGGGTGGTCACAGGGAGAGGAAGCGGACAGCGCAGGTGGGCAACCACACACTTGGCTGGACCCATAATTGTGGTCTATAGTCCTGGCCAAGGTCACAAGGGAAGAGCTAGAAGGGACAGAGTGGCATGACAAAAAAAAAAAAAAGAAAAAGAAAAGAATGCTGTTGGAATTTTGATTGGGATTGTGTTAAATCTGTATATCAATTTAGGAAGTATGGATATTTTGACTGTCTATCCAAGAACGGGGGTATCTTTCCATTTTCTGATGTCCTCTTCAGTTTCCTTTTCAGAGTATAGTAGTTTCTGTTGTAAAGCCTTTTACTTCCTTAGTTATGTTAATTCCTCAGTATTTAATTTTTCTTGGTGCTCTTGTGAATATTTTTTCACTGATTTCTTTCTCAGTGGATTCATTGTTAGTGTACAGAAATACGGTTGATTTTTGTGTGTTGATTTTATATCCTGCTACATTGTTGAATTTGGTTACTAATTCTGAGTCTTTTAGTAGATTTTTTTCTATGTAGAGGATTATCTCATCAGCAAATAATGATAATTTGACTTCTTCTTTTGCTATGCATAACCCTTTTATTTCTTTTTCTTACCTAATTGCTTCTGCTAATGTTTCAAGTACTGTGTTGAACAGGAGTGGTGATGTAGGATATCCTTGTCTTATTCTTGATTTTAGAAGGAAAGCTTTCAGTTTTTCCCCATTTAATATGATATTGGCATTAGGTTTGTCAAATGGCTTTTATCAGATTGAGATGTCTTTCTATACCTATTTTCTTCAATGTTTTTATTTTTTTACTTTTTTTTTTGGTACTGGGGATTGAACTCAGGACCTTGCACTTACAAGGCAGGCAAGGGGCCACTGAGCTAAATCCCCAGCCCCTCAATGTTTTTATCATGAAAGGACGTTGGATTTTGTCAAAGGCCTTTTCTGCATCTATTGAGATGATCATGTGATTTTTGTCCTTGCTTCTGTTTATGTGATATATATTGCATTTATTGATCTGTGTGTGTTGAATTGTCCTTTCATCTCTGGGATGAAGCCTACTTGGTCATGATGAATGATTGTTTTGATGATTCATTGCATGCTGTTTGCCAGTATCTTGTTGAGGATTTTTGCATCTGTATTCATTAAAGAGATTGGTCTATAGTTTTCTTTTTGGTTGGATTCTTGTTTGGTTTTTGAATCTGGGTAATGGTAGCTTCCAGGAATGACTTTGGGAGTACTCTTTCCCTTTCAATTTCATTAAGAATCTTCAGGAGTATTGGTGTTAGACCTTCCTGAAGTTTTTGTAGAATTTAGCAGTGAACTCATCTGGACTTGGTCTTTTCTTGGTAGGTTATTACTGCTACAATTTCATTGCCTGTTATTGGATTATTCAGAGTTTTAAAATTTTCTTTCGGTCTTCATGATTCATATCTATCTAGGAATCTATCCATCTTATCTGAATTTTCCAGTTTATCAGTGTTGTGGCTTGTGTCTAGATGTCCCCCCAAAGCCTCATACAGTCATAAAGGGGGGCTTTTTCAGAGGTGGCTGGACCTAGAGTTTGTGATGCTGGGATTAAGAGTGTGTGATTACTAAATCAGTCCACTGATTGGTTTGGCACCCACCCTAAACTCAGTAGCCTAGATCGACTATAAAAGGGACAGAAAGAAGCTGTTGAAGTCACTTGGACTTCCTTGCTGCCTTCTGCCTTCTCTGCTTTGCCACAAACTGTTTCTCTTCTGTGATGCTCCTCTGTCATGTGCCACCCTGCCTTGGAGCCAGCCAACTGTGGACTGAAAGCTCTACTAACTATGAGCCGAATAAACCTCTCCTCCTTTAACTTTGGGTTTCAGGGATTTTGTCTCAGTAACAAGAAAAGTAACTAAAACAATTGCCATACAGGTTTACAAAGTAATTGTTAAGTATGTTTTTTATTTTGGCAGTGTCTATCATGATTTTATCTTTTTTATTTCAAATTGGTTTGATTTGGGTCTTTGCTCTCTCTTTTTTGTTGTTGTTAGGTTGGTTGTTTGTCTATTATGTTTATTCTTTCAAAGAACCAGCTCTTAGATTCATTAATTCTGTGTGGTTTGGTTTTTTTTTTTTTTTTTGGTGTCAATTTCATTGATTTCTACTCTAATCTTTATAATTTCCTTCTTTCTACTTTTGGTTTGGATTGTTCTTATTTTTCTGAGACCTTGAGATGCATCATGAGGTTATTTATTTGGGCTCGCTCTATTTTTGTGATATGGGCATTCATAGCTATAAACTTCCCTATTAGGACAACTTTCATTGTGTACCATAAGTTCTGGTATGTTGTACTGGCATTATCATTTAGTTCTAAAACTGTATTATTTCTCTCTTGATTTCTTCTATAACCCATTGTTTAGCTAAGAGTATATTGTTTAGTTTCCATACATTTGCATAATTTCTGTGTTTTCTTTTGTCATTGATTTCTAATTTCATTGCCTATGGTCTGATAATAAGCATGGTATAATTTCAATTCCTTCACATTTACTTAATGCTGGGCCAGGGATTTAGTTCAGTGGTTCCACCGCCTGCCTCGCAAGCACAAGGTCCCGAGTTCAACCCCTGGTACCATAAAAAAAAAAAGTCCTTGCACCCACATTTACTTAATGCTGATTTATTGACTAGTATATTGTTTATTTTGAGGAAAGTTCCATGTGCTGCTGAAAAGAATGTACATTCTGCTATTGAATAGAAAACTCTGTCGATGTCTATTTAGTTCATTTGTTCAAATGATTTGTTCAACTCTGACATTTCTTTGTGTCTAGTTGATTTATCTATTTATGATAGTGAGGTATTTAGACCCTACCCCAGGAAGGCTATTGATTTTTGAGTGTTGACCTTGTATCTAGCTACTTTACTGAATTTGGTTATTAAGTCTAGAAGACTTTTGATGGAGTTCTTAGGGTCTTCTATATAAAGTACCATGTCATCTGCAAATGATGACAATTTGACTTCTTCATTTCCTATCTTTATTCTTTTTATTTCTTTCTCTTGTCTAATCCCTGTGGCTAATGTTTCCAAAACTATATTGAACAGAAGTAGTGCTATTGGACATCCTTGTCTTGTTCCTGATTTTAGTGTGAAGGATTTTAATTTTTGATCATTTAGTATGATGTTGGCTGTTGGTTTTTCATAGATGGCTTTTATGAAGTTGAGACAGAGACCATCTATTCCAGTTTTCTGCAGGGTTTTTATCATGAATGTATGTTGGATTTTGTTGAATGCTTTTTCTGCATCTATTGAGATGATCATATGGTTTTTGTCCTCGGTTCTATTAATATAATGTATTACATTTATTGATTTGTGTATGTTGAACCATCCGTGCATCCCTGGGATGAATCCCACTTGGTCAGGGTGTATGATCTTCTTGATTATCTTCTGCATTCTGTTTGCCAGTATGTTATTTAGGATTTTTGCATCTATGTTCATTAGTGAGATTGGCCTACAGTTCTCTTTTTCGGTTGGGTCTTTCTCTGCTTTTGGGATCAAGGTGATGCTTCCAGGAATGAATTTGGCAGTATTGCCTCTCTTTCAATTTTATTGAAGAGTTTAAACAGTAGTGGCAATGGTTCCTCTCTAAATGTCTTGTAGATTTCAGCAGTGAAGCCATCAGGACCCGGGCTTTTCTTAGTTGGTGAGTTTTTAAATTACGTTTTCAATTTTGTTGATTGATAATTGGGTTGTTTTGAATTTTTAGGTCTTCTTTGT